GCCGTAGCGCCAAAAGCTGGCGTACCTGTACTGGTACCGAGCATGTAGTATTGAGTGGCGGGCCGGCGGCCGGCGCAGGCAGCAGGTCGGTTACTTGCCGTTGTGGCCGGTAACGCGACTGCCTCGCGGCCGGGTCCACGTCATAAATGACGAACGGACGGATGGATAGATAGATAGATCATCGTGCCATGGCATGGCACTGCATTGGCATCGCAGGCCGATTGCAGCTGATCTCTGAATAACGTGACCACTTGTTGCAGCATCGGCCACCCCTCTACCACGAGCATCAATAGATGCTTGTCTAGAAACCGTAGCATTGTTTGCTCGCACCCCCAATTTATTCTGGACACACGAACATCCAAAGTCGGAATGGGAATTGATATGAAATTCCAGCTCCAGCGTTTGAATTGAAACCAGACAGTAAAAGCTGGCGACCGCGGCCGGCGAACCCGGTGGCAACACGTACTGGCATAGCGATCCTAGGACAACGAGAGACCCACCAGACCAGACGCAACGCAAGGCCAAACAAGAAGACACCAGTTACAAACAGCTCCATCCAAAAGCCTCAGGCCCCACCCGGCCAGGGTCATCCGGTCATGCTCGTGCGTGCATGCATGCACGCCCAAATCTCGCCGGCGCCCGGTCCCAAACGCTGCGGCGAAGACAAGCCGCCCCTGCCCCGGCCACTCCTCGACACACCGCCGTCGCCACCTGCCATATCTGCGCCTGCGCGTCGCCGTGGGTGTGGGACGGAGCCGATGGGAGGTAGCGCACGCATGCAGCCGGCGCCCCGGGGTCCATGCGTCCATGTCCGTCCAGCCTCCAGCGGCAGGTGGTGATGGTAGACTGGCAGCTGGTAGGGTTGGGAGCGCGCCCGGCCCCCGCGCGGGATCGATCGATCGGTCTCTCGGCATGCACCTGGATCCCCGCCTCCATGACCATCCCTTGCTGCCGCACCGCATGGTACCCGTGTGCGTTCGTGCGCCCGTGCATGCATCCCATCGGCCGCGGCTGCGTGCGGGCCTCAGACCATGCGACGCGACCGATGGGGGCGCTGGAGATCGATCGGGTGGTGTACTGCAGTGATCTGAAGATGCTTTATTCGGATGTACAGTAGCTGTGATCGGTTGGAGCTGTCCGAGTGGGACAAGGACAGCGACGGGGAGTGCGGGCACTGTTCGATCGGCTATGGCATGGCTGGCTGGCTGGCTGGCCGATGGACGTCCCCACGGGACGCCGATCGGTCATCGATCGTTGCAGGCGGATGGAGGAGGATTGACCCAGCCAGGCAGCCATGAGGCATCCCGGATCCCGCTGACCGGCGGCAGGGCGGAATGGGAGTCGGGTGGCCGGAGGAGGATCGGTCCGGTCCATCGAGAGCGAGGCCTCACCGCCTGCCATCTCGCTTGAGAGCGAGGCTAATAATACACCCAGTTGCTGGTTAGTCATCTCTTAGCCTATTCATATAAAAGTTATATCTTTCTTTATTAATACACGACCTATTTATGCTCTCTCTCACGAGTTTTTTATTCTTATATTCAAGCCATTTATAAACTTACAATTCCGCTTCTCCTCTCATCTCTCTCCTACTGTACTTGCTCTGAGCTGACAGCTTAAAGCGACGGCGCTACGAGTAATTAACAAACCCCGATTGGACACACCAAAAGCCTCATGCTTTAATTGTCTCTTAAATTAGTCTGCTCTTTCTTTGCGTGGCATTGAATGAGTCGGCTCTTTGCAAGGTGCGACTGTGGTTGATCTTGCAGCTGCAGCACTACAGGCTTTTGCGTTAATGCGTCTGAATTGATTCAGGTTACTGTGCTTGCGGCAGCTGCTGTCACAGGCCACAGTAAATGTAATGCGCGTGGCTTTAGCAGCAGCAGGAGGAGTGGCAGGAATCATGGCGGCCTACCCGCTGCCGCTGGATTGTTTTGACCGAGCCGTACTTATTAGTAGTGCAGAACGCTGAAACTTGGCCACGTACAACGCCGGGCGCCTACGGGCAGTTTTGGGCCGGTATTCCGTTTTCCTTCCACTGTGGAGTCCAGCGTGTCCGGTTTGGGGCGCTCGCGGACGGATGCGACGCTTCGCGAGGCGGCGGCGCGAGGAGCGACTCTTGCGTGATCCCCAGGAGCCGGGCGCTCGAGATAAGTCTCGAAACTACCTCAACAGCCGGAGTATTTGATGGCTCAGATGGCGTTGCCATTGTAAGAAAAAAAAATGCTTAACAGGGGCTCTTAAGTTAACTGGACAAGTTAAGCGTCCTTGCAAGCGTTTTTCCACTGTAGGTTCAGCACCTTGACAGACGCTTGCTGACATTTTTTTCTCTCTCTCCTTTCAAACGTTTTTACAGGAGCCTCTGCATTGTACATGGCCTATGCGTGAATTTGCAGGCTGTGGAAAAACTAACAAGAATCACTGAATCAGGGAGGCAATGCAGCATGGCCTCCGATCCTGGAACGTTTACATTTATTTACACATGCGTGCATGCATATGCCTGTATAGAGTAAACAATACACCTTCGATTCTTTAGTCATATTCATACATTAAGCCTGTAGGGTCTTCCGATCCCAATCCACAAACATGCATGTCCAACCCTTATAATTTTTACTAAAACAAAAACAAATCGAAAGCTTGCAGGCCCTGTTTGCTTGAACTTATCAGTCCGGCTTATCAGTCATAGAACAGCGTTTTTCTCTCGTAACAAATCAGCTTCAGCCGATTTATAAGCCGCAGAAACCATGTGCATATACAAAATCAAAATGCAGTCAGATGCCTGCCTGGGTTGCATGCATTGCTGCCCTACAGACATGTGAATGACACATGAGACCACCCTAGCTAGGAATAGCCAGCACTGATCACTAATGCGCTAGCTAAGATACCGTTCACACGTTATTACAGGATCGTTATTGTTCGTTGGCCCACGGAAGTCATCTATCAGGCACACTTTTAATCGAGAGACGAGACGAAGGTCATATAGTAGCGTGTCCCTCGCGAGCCAGCCTCAATCGGGCCGGCCGGGTCCCTGACAACGCGAGCTGGGGGGCAGCGACCGCTCCTGGACACGGCCACGCATCGGCCCATGCGGCCGTGCCGGCTCCCGCGCTGCCACCGGCCCCGGCGCGAGCTCATGCATGTCGGATGCGGCCATGCGTGTCGCCATCGCTGCTCGTCGACATCATTCGGAGTCGGACACGAAACAACGGCCTTTGTGTCACTTCCATCGACGTCAATCCGTATAGGGCTCGCGATCGATCGACCGATCGGTCGATCCTGCCGCGCGTTAGCGACTTAAGTGTCACCGTGTCAGCCTCTTTGCTTCCGGCGTCACCGGCACAGGGCCGGCGGTGGGTCCGGGCAGAGCCGCAGAGGTGGTGATCGCCGTCGCTGTCCAGCGTCGCCGTCGCCGTCGTTACCGACTCCGTCGCCGTGTCGCGCGGTCGGGACGTCGAGTTGACGTGCTGCTAGGTGGCGACCGCGTGAGATTAGTAGTGCCTGATTGGACGGCCGTGGGGATTATTCGTCCACGCGCTTCGATCATCAGGATGGCACCGGAGTCGACACGGCACCGAGTAGTTTGCATCGTTCAAGTGGCCAACCGGCACTAGCTACTGAGTACTGACAGATCTCTGATGATTGATTTGCGTTTGCTGCTGCAAAGCTAGGCCGTCCACCTATTATATTCCCTCGACTTGTAGACAATTTTTTAAATCTCTGGCTAAATCATTTAGCAGATAACGTCTAAAACAGCTAATAGCAGAGCCAGATTAGGCTATAGTGGCTTTGTACATAGACACAAATAGTTTCATCTGTCTCAAACAGCTATAGTGTGCTATAGTGGCAGCTATAGCCAGAGATTTAAAACATTGCTTGTAGATAAATAATTTTACCTTGTTCACGATGTTTTCGTCACCAAGAAATTGGCATATTGATTGCTTGTTTCTTTCCACCTAATGGTCCATGGAATAATTTACCTGCCATTTAGGTAGACTAGAAGTGAGGGCCGGCATGATGGTTGTGTTTGGTCTCTATTCTGTGAACCCAACGACGTGGTTAAATTAAGGCTTCCGCGAACAATGCCGGTGGATCAGAATAAACGGCGTGCGTCTCCTTGCCTTCAGTTCAGACTTTTTTTGCAAATTGTTCTTGAGGTACAGCGCCAATCTGAAGAAAATTAGAATCAGAGCTCAGCCAACTAATTGTCCGTGCAGTGCAGGGACCAGTACCCAGTGGTACACACACATTTACTCATCCATATCCAGTACACTATTCTAGCGGCCGCTAGTAGGTTAAAAAGGGTTTGGAACATTTCACGATCGAGTAAACAAACTGCTGTCCATTTCCAATTCCGTAAATATCTGAAGTTAAAGTTATTCAGAGTTGTCTCTTTGGGACCAATCCTGTTTTGTACTCTCTCTTTTTTCTCTCTAATATTATCTTGGCGGCAAAGCTCTTGCCGCCTATTCGAAAGAAGAAGAAAAAAGTTATTCAGAGTTGAGGGAGCACAAATTGACCTTGTGTATGAACAAATGATTTTTTTTTTCTTTTTCCAAGCAAGTGGAGAGTACAATGGCATGCTTGCAACCCTTGGGAAGAGCCCAAGAGCAACAGTGCCTAGATGAGGCGATACCGACAGAGACTTCAAATCTAACAATAAGTAACCAAGTCTACTGCTACTACTGCTAATGCTAGCTACTGCAGGTCCCCGTTACGGCCACCAGACAAGGGGATGGATTGCGTCCAACATCACAAACTCGTCTGGTGGCAGCTTCCACCACCATAGATCTCAACATTATTGCCTCCTGCAACTGCAAGTTTTAAAAACAAGAAAAAAAAGGAAAACATAGTTATTTAAAATTAAATAAATTTGATAAAGATATATACATTCTGCAGGATATATATACTAAGTTATTATCACATCACATAGTTATTAAAGACACAAACATGGCTCCACCGAATTTTGCTGCATTACCTGTCGTCCTTTCACTCGCTCTCTCTCCCTACTGGAAAGAGCACATGTGGTTACTGAACAGCACTTGATTGAACAGCTCTTGCCTTGGCTCGCCTACTGTTTGCACCATGTAGCTGCCATTGTCCTGAAGATATCATGTAGACAGATCAGGCTAAGCTAATCACCATACTTTGTTTGGAGCTGAATCCTGAACGATCATGTGGCAGAGGGAAATGAGCAGAAGGCAAACCTGAGGGAAAGAGATGCTGGTGCCGCCATCGCCGTGGACCTCGTACGATGGGGAGGAGGTGGAGGTGTGCGTGTCCATGATACCTTCAGATGGAGGTCTGTTCAGGACAGAGCCAGGCATTGCAAGCGCCTCATGGTGGAGCATTCCTTCGATTTTCTGGGGAAAAAACACGTGAATTGGAAGTTTGTGGTTTTGTGAACACCATGACATACAAGAGGGGATATATATGGTTGAGGCAGAGATTGTGAGATGTTGCATACTGGAGTATGGTCACTGAAAGCATCACTGTCAATGCCAAACCCATACAGCACAGGGCTCAGGGAAGCAATCCTCATGGAAAGGAACTGCAACGCAATCAACAAGCAAGTGGACTTTCCAGTTAGTTACATTTTCTAACTAAAAAGGTCTCAACATGTATCATCTAATCTAGTGTTATTATTTATTTATTTGCCATGTGTATCACCTCAACTTGGTTCTGCAAGGACTGCACATAATTGATGATCTCATCCAAAATGAGGGCTTTTCCAGTGACCTGCATTAAAAAAAAGCATATTTCCCTCTAAAAAATAGTGCCATGCATTAAGATGCAAAGAGCAGTTTATTTGATTGGTTACAAAATTAACCTTATCACAGCCAGGGACCAGGGCCTGCAGCACCCTCATCCTCTCACTGATTCTCTCCCTCCTCACCTGAAGGAAAATGGCAGAACAGATGAGCAAAAGGAGGCCCAAACAGCCACGCTAAATCTACACGAGTCAACAGCAGCAAGATGGCGGTGAAAATACGCAGGCGTGCACAGTACCCTCTCTGCAAGGCTGTGGCTGTCTGTTGCTTGCCCTCTCCTTGCCCTGACATGTATGTACCCCTTGGGCTCCTCCTCATCTACCTCCTTGCTGCTTCTGTCTCTTTTTTCTCCCTTCTTTTTGGTGCTTTCCTTTGAGTTTGAGTCCTGATTGTTCAGCCACACAAGATCAGTAAACTGTGAGCCACATGTTCATGAAACTAATTTCTATCAAGATTCAAGAACTGTAATCTTCTGTTGTAAAAGTTATGATCAAACGTTGCGCTAGTGTTTGATGAATCTTCATCAAGAAAAAACAGATTCTGTGTTAGAAGTTATGAAACATTTTTTTCGGAGAATGCTGAAGTTATGAAACATTGTTATCTTCTTACATGCACCAGTAATCTTGTGGTGAACTAAAACTACCTTGGAGTGAGCAGAGCTGAAGCTGGCACTATCTTCCCTGGGCTTCCTGGCCTTCTTGTCGTCAGAAGCAGTGCCTTGTGGGGAGGTGCCGAGAACACCAGATGAGGTCTCCAGCGAGGCTGAATCTGCCGTGGCTGCGCCATGGCAGAACAAGAAGCTCGGCGTGTCATGGGAGGCACCGGCTAGGCCATGCTCCATCTGCGTGAGGTGCGGGAAGCTTGCCATTTGTCAACCACCAGCACCCTACTGCTTTTCAGTGTAGTTTTCTTGGCAAGGAGGAGTTCGGAAGCAACAAGATGGAGTTCAATGGCGACTTGCCATTGGCTTATATACACAAGTAGATGGGGAGTGGAGACGAATGAGAGAGAGATGATGATAAGACCAAATCATTACTTCTCTATTAATGGATATTGGCTGTGGTAAGAAAGGCCCCCGGTGTCCCTTGTTGTAATAGGATGAAACAATTGAAGAAACGTCAATCAGCAATTCAGCATATTGATATGGTCATGTGAGTAGGGCCTGATCCTTTTTTTTCTTTCTAATTCCTATTTTGTGCCCAAGTTGAGTAGTATGTAAAAACCTTTTGCGTACCCCACTTTAGGTAGCAACTTTTTTCGGGTATAAAATCTCAGAGCACGAAGGAGCATTTGGCAGAGTTGGCTTGTGTCGTAGTCAATGTTTTTCTAAAAGGTTGAGAATAAACTGCTAATTAAACAGAATAAATGATCGATTAGACGAAAACGATGTGTGTAGTGTTTACACGATGTTTAAAAGGCTAAACGGCTTGATCATAGTACTATCATGGGGTGGTCTGGCCAACCAAGAGGTTTAATTTGATTTCTCCCTTTGTACAATATTATTAGAAGTGAGAGGGACTAATTAGAATAGGACTCTTGTAAAGGGACACATAGCTGTAGCAGGTCGGAAGCAGCTCCATAGTCGTTCCAACAAGAAAGAAAGAAAGAAAGAAAGAAAGAAATATGTCATCTTTGAATTCAGGCCAGGCAATTTTTTAACTTTGGCCAGTAATAATATGTGAATGAAGAATTTGTAATGCAAGGTTGTATCTCTAGTCCTATCTGGTATTAGAGATAAAAATCTCTAGTCCTATCTGCTGAAGCAGTATGAACAGGTTACAGTTTGTTTGTGAACTACTTTACTGCATGCAGGCTAAGCATTCTTCTGATGCGTAGCAACAGAAGGTTATGAGATTTTGTGGAAGTTGAGGATAGAAGTAAATCAAATTTACCTGCACACTGGTCCTGAATCCTGATCCTGGTCCTGGGTCGTCATAATGGAGAACTCAAACGTGGTTGACGACTGATGAGAGCCTGAGATATGGGCTCCATCATGCGCTTCTGGTTTCTGAGCTTCTTCAGCCCCCTGCCTGCAACATCACCTACAAAGTAGCTGCGTCATTAACTGCAAGTAAAAACCATGTGACACTGACAGTAAAGATACTAGTGACCATCAGAGTGGGAGTGGCACAAGGGATCTTCCTGGCAGTGCGGTCATCAGGACGGGCTTTTGAGTGTGGCTGCACGCATGCATGCAGACGCTGGACGGTATGTTGGTCCTGAGATCTGCCGTACGAGTGAGTCGATCGTTCACCCACGTTCTCGCACATATACTATGACTAAAGGTAGAAGAAGGAGGAAAAATAGAGCGCACATACAACACAAGCACCAACGTTAGCTGGAACTATACAGAGGAGATGGTAAAACTGGCCTCTCTCTCTTCACTGAGTTACAGTGCGAAGCTATATATACAACTCTACCCGTCTAATCCTAGTACACAGACATGCCAAGCTGTCATGCTGCTACAGTGACTAGATGTGACAGTAGGGCTGACTTTAGCGCCTCCCCTGCTGTGACTACAGTGCGGCAAGGGAGCCTTTCGGCGCCTGCTCCTGCCGCTGCTACAGTACAGCAGCACAGAGCCCTTTCGACGTCTGCCCCTGCCACGCGTACAGAGAGAGAGAGAGAGCAGCATATTACTTTACAATTCTTTCCCTAATCCTGCTGCTAACCCTAGAACCTCCACCATGCCAATCATCTTCTTCAGCTCCGTAAACCGAAAACGGCCGAGCGGCTTGGTGAGGACGTCCGTGAGTTACCGACCAGTTTCGACGAACTCAATGACGATCTGTCCTCCATCGATACAGTCCCTGAGGAAGTAGAACTTGACGTCGATATGCTTGCTCCGGTCTTGGAGAACCGGATTCTTTGCAAGGGCGATGACGGGCTGGTTGTCCACCATCAGTGCTGGTGGGTGAGCTTCCACACCGGTCAGCTCGCCCAACAGCCGACGCAGCCACACAGCTTGGCACGCCGCAGTGGTCGTCGCCATGTACTCTGCCTCGCACGTGGACAGCGCCACCACCTTCTGTTTCAGCAACAGCCATGAGATTAGAGCCAACCCGAGGAAGATGAGCACGCCAGAGGTGCTCCGCCGTCCGTCGATGTTCCACGCCATGTCTGCATCGCTGAACACAGTGAGCTGCAGCCCACTTCCACCGGTCTTGGAGAAGACGATCACCTGATCCACCATCCCCTTGACGTAGCGCAGCAGTCGCTTCACCGCGTCTAGTGATCCTCCATGAAGCGGCTGATGTAGCCCACGACGAATGCAATGTCCGGTCTCGTGTGGACTAGGTAGCGTAGACCAACTAGAACAATTTAATTAGTATAATAAATAGCGAAAAACAAACTTACTTTAGCTCTTTAAGGGTTGCAAGCCACCTATCCAACAATTCTAAATACTATGATCACTAGACACTCAATTTACTAAGTCACTACTCACTAAGAGCTCTCACACTTGCTACACTAAAGAACTCCACTAGATGAACTTAAACTACAAAGCAAGCTCTCAATTCTAGTTACACTAAAGAGCTTGTTACAACTAGTTTGCGGGAATGTCAATTCACCGCCGCGTTGAGAAGTGAACCAATCACAAGATAAATACTAACTCAATCACCGGAAGAATACCAAAGGACAAGAAACAACCAATTTTTCTTCCGAGGTTCACGTGCTTGCCGGCACGCTAGTCCCCGTTGTGTCGACCAACACTTGATGGTTCGGTGGCTAAGAGGTGTTGCATGAACCTCGTCCACACAATTGGACACCGCAAGAACATACCCACAAGTGATGTAACTCAATGACATGAGCAATCCACTAGAGTTACCTTTCAGCGCTCCACCGGAGAAGGCACAAGACCCCTCACAATCAGCGCGATCGGAGCCAGAGACAATCACCACCCTCCGCTCGACGATCCTCGCTGCTCCAAACCGTCTAGGTGTCGGCAACCACCAAGAGAAACAAGTGAATCCCGCAGCAAAACACGAATACCAAGTGGCTCTAGATGCAATCACTCAAGCAATGCACTTGGATTCTCTTCCAGTCTCACAAAGATGATGGATCAATGATGGAGATGAGTGGGAGGGCTTTGGCTAAGCTCACAAGGTTGCTATGTCAATGTAAATAGCTAAGAGAGTGAGCTAGAGTCGGCCAAACGGTATTTATAGACACCCCCAAACAATAGAGCCGTTGGCTCAATTATGGGGCCGACTACGTGTTGACCGGACACGCAGGTCATGTGCACCGGACGCACCGGTCGTGTATACCAGACACGTTCGGTCGCTGCCTGACCACCATGTGTCCCATTTAAATGAAGTAGCCATTGCTGCCATGAGTCCCATGCGACCGGACGCATCCAGTGTGGACGACCGGACGCAGGACGGGCAGCGTCCGCTCGAGTCCAGAGAGCTCCTAGAGCCGATGTGGGCCGACCGGACGCGTCCGGTCACACTGGACTGGACGCAGGAGACTCAATGTCTGGTCGAGTCCAGAGAGCTCCAAGAGTCGTTCTGGGCTGACCTGAAGCGTCCGGTCACACCGGACCGGACGCTTCTAGAGTCTGATCAATTTTAGTTCTGAAACCCGACTAGCTGGTTCATATCGGATGCGTCCGGTATGGCGACCAGACGCGACCGGTCACTTCTCTACAAACCTAAACTAAGCTAACTCACATTGACCGAACACTAAACAGTAATACCTCAGCGTCCGGTCACTCCACTGAACCAGAGTCCGGTCATTGATACCGGACACGTCCAATCACTCTGTGACCAGCGCGACTAACTCCTTTACAACTCTATCTTCTTTATCCTTGCTCAAAAGTGCCAACCACCAAGTGTATCACCTTGTGCACATGTGTTAGCATATTTTCACAAATGTTTTCAAGGGTGTTAGCACTCCACTAGATCCTAAATACATATGCAAATGAGTTAGAGCATCTAGTGGCACGTTGATAACCGCATTTCGATACGAGTTTCACCCCTCTTAATAGTACGGCTATCGATCCTAAATGTGATCACACTCTCTAAGTGTCTCGATCACTAAACCAAAAAGCTCCTATCAATTTCACCTTTGCCTTGAGCTTTTTATTTTTCTTTCTTTTATTCCAAGTCCAAGTATGTGATCATCATCATGACATCACCATCATCATGTTATGATCTTCATTTGTTTCATCACTTGGAATGTGCCACCTATCTCATAATCACTTTGATAAACTAGGTTAGCACTTAGGGTTTCATCAATTCACCAAAACCAAACTAGAGCTTTCAATATTGCATCTGCCTTCGCCGTGGTACTGGACTTCATCAGCTTCAGCTGCTCCTCCATCGGAGTCACGCACGGCTTGCACTCAACCCTGCCGCCCCGCTCCAACAGCTTCGAGGCGTACGTGCTATGACCGAGCGTGAGCGCCTCCTTTCCCTGTCTCACCTCAATGCCGAGGTAGTAGGAAAGTGCGCCGAGATCGCTCATTCAAAAACGAGCCACCATCTCATGCTTGAAGCTATCAATGTCCTCCGCACGCACGCCGGTGACGATCAAGTCATCTACATACACGCCGACGACAAGCTCCTTCTTCCCCCGTCGCCGCGTGTAGAGAGCGTGCTCGGTTGCGCACCACGTGAACCCAAGCTCGCCCAGCGTGGCATCAAGCTTGGCGTTCCACGCTCGTAGGGCCTGCCGCAGCCCATAGAGCGCCTTGCGCAGTTAGAGCACCCTGTGCTCTGCTCCTTTGATGGCGAAACCCGTAGGTTGGCTGATGAAGACCGTCTCCGCCAGCTAGCCATTGAGGAAGGCCGATTTTATGTTCAGGTGATGGACGTGCCAGTCCTTCGCTGCTGGCAAAGC